ACTGAAGGGACTATGTGAAAATCTCAATTGCCTTTTAAAAAAAAAAGATTAGTCTCATCCCACTTAAACTACTCTTAGAGCAGGATGCTCTTCCATATATATAAGTGGAAGTGGCATAATTTGGTCCTCAGTGAATTACTCTCTTTGTCAGAGGCCTCCTCCTACAAACCTAATTTGTGCCATTAAAAAGAATTAGTGTAATGATCATTTTTCCAAGTTTATATATATCTTAATAGCGCCTATGCTGACTTAGGTAGTTATATCTGTGGGTTGCTAATTCTCTCCTTGTTCATGCTCTCTATTCCCTTGTGCAGGGGAATTAAACTGATTTCACTTGTCCTCCTAAGTGCAGGGTGCGTGGGAGGGGTATAACCACAGAGCTCTATATTCCACTGATCCCTGACTGGCATAATTGCCTATGTGGAGCCCATTACAAACTTGTGTAACCTAAAGCAGCTCTGAGGCTGCTATTTAATGAATAAGAGCAGAAGCAGACCCTAAAGTGGTTCCCTGCCCAAATGGTTTGAGTTTGTGGAACTGCTGTGATAAGTGCGATGGGGTTTGTAAACTCTGCACAGGTTAAAGGGAATTAAGATTTAATGTGCAGCTAAAGCAGCGATTTCTCTGAGTTTCATTTGGCTGATTATTTCTGGGTCCACTTACAAGGGGCTATACAAGACTGAAAGCCAGGAAGGAAGATGGCCCAGAAGAACCCACCAGAGTACAAGGGCTCAGGATCATTGGTGGACTGAAGTAGGCAGCAGTCCAGGAGTATAATTTGAGTTGTAACGACAGTCTATTAGACTAACTCCCTCAGTGGAGCAGGGCTCTGGGCTGGAGTTTAGAGGAATAAAGTGGGTCTCAGACCCGCGACTTCTCTTCCACCTGGCCTGTTGAGGAGATATTGGTACAACTGAATCAGTACCAGCAGTAAAAATTGATTGAGTGTCCTAAGACCCTGAGTGATTAATTGCTGCAGAGTACAGAATGTCAGATATGATTTCTGATCTCTAAGAGACTGTAAATGTGGCTGGTGACCAAAAAGGAGAGAGATATCAAAAGCCCTTCCTTTTACAAAACATATTTAATAATCATAACAAGGGGACTTCACAGTAAGTTAAATATGCCAAGGAAAAGACTCTCTCCATCAAAATCTTTTAAGCGAAATAAAAAGAGAAATGGTTGTAATATGACTCAAAAAGGTGCAGTGCATGGCATGAAGAACCAGAGTAGTTGCTGTAGTTAAAATGCTGCATCAAGGAGGGGAGCATACATAGAGAGTGGGAAGTTTTTCTACATAAAGGAATAGTGTGAAAGATGATAGGAGGACAAGCCTGCAAGGAGACAAAGGGAACAGTTGGAAATGGAGGACCATTTCAGGGAGAATACATGCCAGCTTAGAGATATTCTATGTAAAGGAAGCATACAAGATTTGCATTTATTAAACTCTTGCATTTCCCTCCTATATTTCCACATTTCAGGCATTAATAGGAAGATTTTTTGGGCTGTTCCAGTCAGAAAAAGCCATTATAGTCTGCATGTCCATGCATAACTGTATTTATTAAAAACAGGTAAGGATGGATAGACATTAAAGACAACCCTGACATTTCTTAAGAAATGCAAAAGTATAGTAAGAGGATGCTCTGCCTCCCAGCATACAGGAAGCAAAAGACAGCAAATAGTTTCTCAGATTTAATTAAGAAAACAGAATCAGGTGTGGAAAAGTCATTTCCCTGTCCCTTAAACCTGCAACCTTTTCTAGACTTTCCTACTGGTTGCCATATGGTTAAGCGCACACACACAAATAAATCACAGAATAAATTACAAAAGAGACCAACGTCCCATATAATACATTGCTCATGTTTATTGTACTGGGACATTTAATTTGAAAGTTCTAGTGACAAAGTAAGAGACACTAGGAAAGCTAGTTATGTATTACATTTAAAATGGTGCATTGCTCTAAAATTGTCCAGTTACAATTTGTTTTCACTTTCCCTCCTCTTTTTATCTATTTAGTTGATGCTCAGTAAGTGTCAACAGTGCCCAGGATTATGGAGTCACTAAAGGTATTTGCTGTCACTGCAGTTTGTTTATAGAAATCGATGCTCACAGAGACAGATGAAGGCACACCTGGAGAGCCTTCCACAGGACAAATTCTGAATTCAAAGACTCAGAAAATTAAGGTTGGAAGGGACCTTAGGAGGTCATCTAGTCCAACCCCCAACTGTTCTGAAACTTGCATTGCATCCGGGATAATCATTCTTTAGTTGCATATTTGTGTGCTGCTGCTTCTCTCCTGCTCTGGTCTTGGATTCTAAATCTGAGAGTTTAAAAGATAATATTCATCAGCTAACAAGGAGGTCATGTGCATCTCAGCAACTGGGGAAGTGTTGAATCACACAGCCCCAATTCACAGTGGCCTCGCCAGTGATGACACAGCACCTCTCACAGATTGTGAAGGGGAGAGGAAGAAACCAGAAACTGTCTTTTACTTGCATAAGGACTCTGTTAACCTTAAAAGGGCATTTTAAAATTAAGGACTCTAATTATACCAATATATGCCACTTATAATTTGGTATAATTATGTCAGATAGTATTTGGAATGATTTCATTTACACCAAAATACAGAAATCATTTATCAAAATTGTGCTAGCTGAGTGCTAGGTCCAAAAAGTACCAGAGAATGGAACAGGAAAGCCTAACCATTATGATTATGTCTTATTTTTAGTAGGGTGACCCTACAAAGGCACTGGGAACCATACAGAAAAGTAATAAAGACAGTTTGTGCCACAAACAGCCACTGATCTACATGCACTGAGCCCCATGGAGACCATCTCTGTACCAAACAGGAGATAGGACTTGCAGTTCTGCTCAGTGCCATAACCTGTCTATAAAAAGGAGTGGATACATTTTACCAGACTGAATAACCACACATGGCATTGAAGATAGTTGTGGGGATGGACAGTGGGGAGGTGGGGAATGGACAGTGGCTGATGAAAGGAAGGAAGAGCTGGAGTCTGAATTTACATTTCTCTTTCATGGTGGATACTCTAGTCAGCTGCAGAAACCCTGGGGGCTGTTGCCATGGAGTACTCTAATCTTTCTGATCTTCGGAGACCCATATTGATCTTAGGGACGTATGGAATTGGGAGGTTATCCATTTGACTAATTTTAGAGAAAGGTAAACAGAGCACTTAAAAAAAAAGAGAAATTCCATCTTCAGCCTCTTCCTGCGGATGTCAGGGAGCAATCAGTTCCACTATTATTGGGGCCAGTAGTATAACTAGGAATGGGTGACCAGGCACTAGGCCTAGGTGCTGCCCTAAAGGGCTTGCCTCCAGGTCCCCTCCTCTCGCTCCATCCCCAAGCTCTCTTTTGCCATTGCATTTGCAACTTGCAGCAGTTGGCAATAGGAATCAGTGCCAACAATAAGCGTGCAAGTCTCCTGCTGCCTCCCCAGCCCTCCCTGCTGTGTCTCACACCCACTTGCTGCAGCTGCCTACCGCTTCTCTTGCTGATGAATTTGCTGCTTGTGGCAGTCAGTGGCATCAGGGCAATGCAGGTAAAGGTGGCAGCTGTGGTAGTGGCATGTGAGACGAGCCCTCAGCATAGAGCAGGAACGGCTGCGGCACTGCAGGGAAACAGTTTAAGGACAGAGCAGGGCAGGTTGCTGGCCCAGGGCACAAAATAGTCGCATCTCTGTGTGCGGCACTTCAGTACAGGGCTGTTATTTTGGGGTTTTTTGTCTCATATTTTAATTGTTTTAAATAGGAAGCTACTGCAATGTTTTCTCTTTTTGCCATAACAATTAAAATATTTGCATTCCATGCTGTTTAACATGCCATCTAACATTCCCACATGCATTCTTTTTTATTACTAACCTGCAGGACTACAGCTTCCCAGGTACAAATACTACACCACTAGCTTTGGGGGATTTTTTAATACAGAGTTATGAACAAAGCCAAGGCTGTTTTTGCAAGCTGTGCAGTCTCAGTGAGTAGTCTAATGCCTCAGGTGAGTAGTCTAATTGAAGCAGGTGATTCACAATGCATCTGAGCAAGGACTATGAGCTTTTACTGGATTGGGACTATTATTTCTAGAACTCCCTGGGACCAAATCTTCCAATGGTATAGCTCAACATAATTCCACGAATTTTGTAGAGCGATGCCCATTTATACCACCTGAGGCTCCAAGCTTAAATTCACTGGGAGAGACCCTGGTTCCACTGAAGTAAATGACAGAATTTTCATTGACTTTACTGGGCCCGAGATTTCATCTCTTTTTTACTGAGGTAATGGCACCTTGTTAATCCATTATGTCACCAGTTGTATCTATCCATCTGCACGTCTAACATCTTTAGATCCAACTACACTGTATAAAAAAAGGCTGTAGTGGTGAACCTTTTTAATAGCAATTTGAGATAAACATACTGTTCTTCTCCCTTCTGACCTAGAAAGAGGGAATAATTATATCTACTTTTCGGGGATACTTGGAAACATGAATCAATGTTTATAAAGCACTTTGAGATCCTTGGGTGGAGGAAATTTGGAAAGCAAAAATTAATTATAATAATTTATTTGTAGAATGTTATTTCTGTTGTATATTCTTATGAAATGGTTGAGCTATTGAAGAAGGCCATTCTTGACTGAAAATTAACCACTGGACCCAGCAACACACACTGGAAGCATTTAACTGGAAAGAAAAATGCCATCATTTCTTACTCACCCCATAAAGCACCATAAGATTATTGCTTGAATTCATGCTTTCACTTGAAATTCATTCCATCTCCTGCCTGTTACTTATTCCTTTCCTAATTCCACATTCTGCTAGAAAATTGAAGCATTTAATTGTTTTTGGTTTCCAAAAATATTTGAAAAAATGTTGTAATCTACTCCCTACTTCTACCATCTCTCTCTTTTTCCTTCCTCAAGATGGATTTGATACAGAATAACTCACTTGGGTGCTATCAGCCAAATGCCTTCAAAAGTATTTTAACTCACCTCTCCTATTATGTCTGTTAGCAGCTTCAGAACCTTAGGATCATGGACGAGTGAATCGGTGTAAAATGAACCAAGGTATTTCTTTGGATCGACATTATTATCCACTGCACACAAATCAGGGCGCACATTAAACCCATGGGAAATACGTCCGAGAGTATAGGGAAAAGAGCCACCTACAAAGAGAGGTTATTACTGAAGGGGGAAATCATTTCTTTGCTTTCATAAATCTGAAAATATAGGAAGAAAAAACCACAATGCCACAGACAGAGATTACTATGCAGCTATATAGAAATATACTACAGTACAAGGAATAAGAGACCATAACCAATAAAAGCCCTGTCCCCAAAACGTAATACAATAGCCAGATCTTCAGCTGGTGAGCCTGCCCAATTAAGTTATACTTGTTCACAACCATATTTGATGTGGTTCTGAAATAATTCAAGGTGGGCCATATTAAGGATAAAGTTTGTCAGTGTGTTTTGATCAGGTATGAGTCTAATGTTGATTGGAGGGGGTCACGCTAAACCAGGGGTGGGCAATTATTTGGGCCTGTGGGCCACATAAGCCGTTCGGGGACATTGCTGTGAGCCAGTCAGCACCCTCCACCCCACAACAGCCCAGAGTCTGCGCACCCTATGTGGCTCCTCCCCACCACTGCCAACAATGCACAGCCCCAGCTCTGGCCTGTGCCCACTCCAGACTCGACCTGGCTGGAGCAGACCAACTGGGTCCCCCAGTCCCATCTGGCCCAGATGCCATCTGGCCTATGGCATGTCCTGCTGCCCCCTGGCCACACAGTGGGGTGACCCTGCAGCTCGACTGCCTTTCTAGGTAGCTCAGGTGGAAGCAGCTGCTTCTGGCAGCCTCTGCCACTGGCCCCAGCCTTGTGGTACTGGCAGGGAGCCACACACACATCCCCGACCCTGTCCCAACTCACTCCCGCTCCAGACTCAGCCCTGCAGAGTGGACAAGCTCCAGACCAGCCGTAACCTGTGCACACAGCCCTGACCCCAGCCCGCCCCGTGCCTGCTCCAGACTTGCCCACCCATGCTGAGCAGTGGCAGCGCTGGGCAGAAGCTGCTGTTCGGTGCGGGCGTAAAAGCAACTCCTCCCCTTCACTGCTGCTGGCTTCTTGTTGCAGTCGCCCAGAACCTGCACCTGGACTGCCTCCATGGCTCCTCTGCACTGCCACTGCTGCCTCTAGTGAGTGCAAAGGAGCCACCGGGTAGCTTGGATGCAGGCTCCAGGCAGCTGCAGTCTATAGCCTGGGCTCTGGGCTGGCCCAGGAGGAACTGAGGGACCTGCTGTGGGCTGGGCAAAGTCCCTCTGTAGGCCAAATCTGGCCCATAGGCCATATTTTGCCCACCCCTACACTAACCTGTCATTGCATTAACCAGTGCAGAAAGTGCACACTGCAGAGGCTCGGCATGAGGAAGAGAAGCCTAAAGACAGTTTTAAATGATGTCACAGGGATAAGCTCTACAATACTTAATGGGCATTGGCAGGAACCTTGTCAGGCAACATAAGTGCATGGAAGAGAGACTCTTCTCTAATTTGTACATGGATGAAGGATGGGCTTAGCATTAGTTGTAAATTTTTCTCCATTTTAGTTTGCTTGGCAACTGATTAAACTCCCCTGTTTTATAGGTATTAGCTGCTTGTCTCTCTAATCTTTATAGTTAGAAGGAAAAGCTCTGAAGTGTGAACCAAATATAAATTGATGTCTGCCTCAGCTTGCATCTTCAGAGTCCACCCAGCTCCACGTGCCTATATAGGTATCCTGTATATAGGTTTTGTACTATACACCAAGTTACTCAATGTTAAGGAAATAAAGTTAGCCAAAGAAACTTCATTATTAACAGTGGATATGACAGCAAGTCTTTTAGGCACTTACAACCCTGAGAGAAAAATTCAAAGCTCTGCTGAAATTAGAATTTTTTTTCCATTTTACTTTCTTGAAACTAGCATCTTCATACAAGGCTGCACTTAAATAGATGCAGGAATAATTGCTACATTGACATTTCTCTTTGTCAGTGTTGCAGTAATATTTGAGGAGTTAGAATACAGCTTGGGGAAAACTAATAGAAAACCATTCTGCATAGAAAGGAGGCTTCCCAGTGCTTCCTGGCATCTCTAATTGCTAATGGGAAGCAAGGGAAAATGCACATAAAAATAAATGCTACTTGATTTGGATGCATCTGTTGTGATATTGTAATCACTACAAACAGAGATCTTTCTGCTGCATTTTAGTTTGGTTTCTCCATTAGCTAATGCTCTTCTGTGTTTCCTTCTGCCTAAACTGTGCTCTTTTTCTTTCTTTTCTCTGACAAGAATGGCTCCTTCCTCCTATCTTTGAATTAGTGCTGGCTTCTGTTAGTGATGGCTTCTGATATTGCAGAGAGAAGATGGGGGCAAGGGAGAAAGAAGTGCTGAATAGTCAAACAGCTCACTTTCTGTTTTTCTGATGCTCCCTTTGCTAAAAATGTTTCCAGGCAGATGATGCTGAAGAAACCATTTCTCTACATAGTCTGTAAATCATTCTCTCTTATTATCATATTACAAATACAGAACTGGGACAGGCTATACCAAAAAAACCCTTAAAAAGTGCTTTCTGGTGACTTGTGGCTGGTGAGGACTTTTTCTTATCACTGTCAGTTAAGCTATGTGGTCAAGTGAGTTTCTATGACTTATCAAACCATACGGGAGAGATTCTACAATATTTATATGCAAAACTCCCACTGAGTTCCCTAGTTTGAGTCCTCAGAGAATCTTTTTATGAAATAAACTAATCTCATTTAAGGATGCCACTGGGATTCTTGATCCATTTTTGATTGCTTGGGATAAGATTTATGATAACCCATGGACCCTGGGCTCAGCCTAAATCTTTCCTTATGGAAATCCCCTACTGACTCCTATCATAAAGGCAATTTTGATTCTAGTTCAGTTCAAACACTGACGTCAACAGTGATCAACAGGGAACAATTTTGCCGAAGAAAGAACACTGTGGTCTCCAGATCTCTTCAAGCCCTCTCCTCTTGGCTGAGACTCTCAACACAGATCGCAGATGCTAATTACTGACAATTGTGTCTACATCACAAATACCACCACATGGCCACTGGAAGTAGGACTGAAACAGCAAAGCCTGTTCTACTGGAACACAGGAATTAAATAGGCTCAGTAGGAATGATCAAGCCTTATTACTTTTTTTTCTTTTTAAAGACTTTAAAATGGCTCAATCCTCTTTACTCAACCTTATTAAGACAGGCAGGTCTCTTTCTTTAACTAGACATTTTTGTTGTTTCATCTACTTTTCAAATATAACACAGTTAAATGCTTGAAATGGATCTCCTAATAGGCAAAACCAGAAAAGATAACCATTCAATAATGTTCAGCCAAGGAAGTGGTTCATGAGATATATTACCTACCTCCATGTGCAAAGCAAACTTTCAGTTTAGGAAATTTTTCAAAAATTCCACCCATAATCATTGAGCAGATGGCTACAGTTGTTTCTGCTGGCATGCCTGCCAACAAAGAAAAGTTTTGTGATATAGACTTCATACTGAAGTTTTAGTTTTATACATTAGTGATGTTTCCCTCAATATCCTCTGTATTTAAAACCAAAGGTAACATCTGCATTGCAAATAGCAACTCCATAAATTATTTCTTATGAGAAAAGCACTACTTGAACCAGCCATTACTTAAGGTTCTTTAACTGTAGTCAGAAAGGAGGGATAGAAGCTATGCACTGAATTTGCATCTCAAACCTGACATTTAAGACTTTTTTACACTGTACAAGGCAGTGTACAAGGCAGTGTACCGCACGGACATACCCAATCCTCTGAGTCTGGGCATTATAACAGCACAGAGTGTTAGCACAGTGAAAAAAGGTCATGAAGCTGTACTGCTTCTGCTACTTGACTAGCATGGCTATCTTTACATGGCACTGCATTGCACAGTGCACACATCTTAGTTTCTCTGTGCTTTGGGCCAAAACATTAGAACGTGGGTGCTTAGATTTATGGCACTGAAAGACATATCAGATGCCTAACTCAAGCAACGGGAGTTGCAGATATTTATCATCTTAAGGTCACCTATGGGCCTTATGAAGAGCCACAAATCTCTTAACCGAATCTCTTCACCAGTACAAATTTGGAATCAAGAATTGGCAGTAATGAGGGCTGTTAATCTTCGGAGCCCAAAATCGCGGTATTATGGACTTGTGGAGCTTTACCACTAGGTATTGGTCTACTACCCGACCCCATCTAGTGTCTGAAAATTACATATACAACAGGCTCAGGTAAGCTTCAAACAACTGGACCATATTGTTATAAATTAGTTAATGCGAAACAAACAATAGGACTTTAACAGATAGCAAACATCTATACGAGAACAGGCAATACAATGTAAGGGTGTGTGAGATAACATAGACAGCAAAGGTGGCTCTCTCACCACACAGCAGCAGACTGCTGTGTACTTCTGAGACTGACATCGAACAGCTCTCACACAGTCCTGAACACACGCACTCAGACACACATATCCAGTGCTGCGCTGTCTCACAGGTGTGTTCCTTTTAACAGGGGTGTAGGTTGTAGCTGTGTTGGTCTAAGGACGTAGGCAGGCAAGGTTCTTCAGGTGAATCTGATATCTTTTATTAGACCAACTTAAATAGTTGGAAAATTTTTTCTTAGCAAGCTTTCGGGTTTAAACACCCTTTGTCAGGCTGAGGAAGCATCTGCAGTCTGTGCGCGCTCTTCCTGGATGAAAGTCATATTCCATGCATTCATTCTATGCAGGAAGAGCACACACACACACCAACTGCAGATGCGTCCTCAGCCTGACAAAGAGTTTTTAAACCCGAAAGCTTGCTAAGAAAAATTTTCAACTATTTAAGTCAGTCTAATAAAAGATATCAGATTCACCCAAAGGACCCTGTCTGCCTGTTCTTTTTAACCACACCAGTCAGATCACTCCTGCCAATTACTTAGTTAACTGATTACTCAGGCAGAAGCACTGTCACTCAAACATCCATCACACCTTTAACCAACCTGATGATGACTTACCTCAGAAGGCGAGAGACTCATCTTGCAACAATTTACGCCACTGCTCAGTCCTACACTGTGCTTGCTCCTTTCAGAGAAATAGGTCCTGACATCAGAGTCAAGAGCTCACTGGGTCTAGACCAGTGTTTCTCAACCCATAGGTCATGACCCAAAAATGAGTCACAAGAATATATGAAAGAGTCGCGAACAAAACTTAAAAAATGGATCAAGTTGACAACTGAAGCCTGATGCCCTGCTCCTGCATTTGTTCAAGTAATTTGCATTTTCACAGAGCCCAGAGATAACTCACCACAAAAGACATTCCTGCCCAGAAGAGCATCCATCTTTCTACTCTTCTGTGAAATATGAAACATCATAACCAGAAGGAAATATATCCTGCTTGCCACCAGACAACTTTGAGGTAAAAAGACTGCTCCAACTTTTCCCTGAGCCTAATCTGCATAAAATAAACTGTTCCAAATAGAAGATTTTGCCAAACCTTCAGCTCTCCTATGAAATATGAATTTTCATTTCTGCCTAGGAGAACCTTTACAATCTTTGCTCTCTCCTATGCCTGAAGAAGGGTGCCTGTGCCCAAAAGCCTGCAAATAAAGATTTTTTTTTGCAAATATCTAGTTAGCCTAATAAAAGATATCACCTCTGCTGTGAATTCTGATTTAAAAAAATGGATTCTTCTTTAAAGGAGAAAAACATGGGAAACCGTGGCTTTTCCCTTGCAGGCTGGCAGAGCTCCAACCTGCTTGGGGCTGCGGAAGGCCCCCTGTCCCACACACTGGGGGTGGGGGGCAGCAGGTCAGGAGTGAGGGGCGCTGGGGTCGGGACTGGCCATTGATGTTTACAAATGGATCCTGGTACAAAAAAAAGTTTAGAACCACTGGTCTACAGCCCTCCCTCCTGACTCCTAGTCAGACTGAGCAGGTGCCACATCTTCCATTAATCTCAAGTGGACTTAGATGTTATCGGATGGTCACAGCCAGAGGATGGGGCCAACACTTATATGGGGCTCTATATAATGAATATGAGAATTAGTTTTTAGATTGTCATGGTCTAATTGAGGAGATATAACAATTTTCAGCTCTTTTAATATTGTGTATATTAAACCTGCTGCAAGCAGAGTTATCTGATAAAGCATTCAAATGGAGAGAGCAACTAGTTGCCTGCTTTCACTGCTGCGGATAGCGGTGGATCTGAACTGATATCAGAAGTGCCAGTGCTTGGGTGACAATGGTGCTGTGAGCTTTGGACTGGAAATGTTGTGCGCAGCAATGAGATGTTTTACAAGTGTAACAATGGTTGCAACACCAAAATACCATATTTACTTGAATATAAAATGAGTTCTTTCCCCTCAGTCATGGGAAAAAAGCCCCTTGTCTTATAATTGTATACAAGGAAACCTCATTAAATACACTGTCTATCATTAAACTATTGCTAAAAGCAGCATGTGCTCAATAATGGAAATCAATTATGAAGCTGATTAAATACAGTCAACACAAGCCTCAAATGTCTGGCAATGTTTCTTCACAAGCCTTAAATGTCTGGCAAACATCACCAAACTGGGCCCTAAACAAGTCACCCAGAATTCACTCAGTTCCAATCATGATGGGGGGCTAATTAGCAACGGACCCACCCTGTGTGGTGGGTATCTGGAGTACGCACACATACTGAGCAGTGCTAAGCTGTGGGATCACCATGGCTTGAAATGCTGTTGACCCTGCTGGAGCTTAGCCCAATAAACTATGTGGTAAATCATGAGCCTTCCGGCTTTGGACTAATATCATGCATAGTTTGTACTCTATATAAGTAGGTTCAAAATTGTTGCTTAAAAGTGTGTTTATGGAATATCTGTGCTAAAACTTGCAGCAGTTTTAAAAAAGGTAAAATGCATCCATCCTGGATGAACTAAGTTTATGGGTACCTGCAGTAATTTACCTATATGATAAATTATGTTTATTCCAAGGTTAGTGCTTTCAAATTTGCCCCTCACTTTCGTGTGCTGAGGGAGACCAGAGTCTGACAAAAAGGGAGAGGGGGGAGAGAAGGGGACTACCTGACCCCTTAGATTTATTTTCCTTGCTGTAGAAGTGGAATGGGGACAAATTCAAGACCAACTTCTAATAATTAGATTTGATTTCTAGAAAGTTATAACAAATGATACATTTTCCATATATAGAAGTTAATTACTGGGAGGGCGGGTCATCTTGTATACATCTTATATTCAAATAAACACGATATTGTAGTGGAGACCCAATTAGAAAAATCTGATTCTGTTCTCAGTCATGAGGGTGTAAATCAGGAATTATTCCATCGTGTCAATGGTGTTACACAATGCAAAACTGAGTAAGTGGCAGCAGAATCAGGCCAGGCAACACCAGGGTGCGGTACAAATTTATATGCTGTTACTTTGTGCTCTTCTAATATAAGTGGAAGGTGTGAAAAGACAAAAACCAGATGAGTCTACACTGGCTGTACCTCCTAGGAACTTTCAAAGCACACATTATTTCAGCTAAGGTTGAAATGAATTTAAAATACTCCCTAATCTATCTGATTCAAATGAAATCATAGGAATTAATGCTTTGTCACTTGCTAATTCTACCTGTCTTTCTTCTAATCAGAGTCCCTTTCAGGAGTTCTCATTAGAACTGCAAAAGGAGGTCTCTAGAGATTTACTGACTTAAGGAGACAAGAGAATGAGAGAAGACTGTTGCTAATCTTGTTAAATTTTAGCTACCGATATGTAAATTTAGCCAAACTATATATGCATAAAAATATGTGAGAGAGACTATCATGGCTACATCATCATGCTTACACAGCCACATGGGTAAAAACAAATAACTGAGATGTACAGTGTGGATCTAATGACAGTATCCAGGTTTAAAAGACAATTGACCAAAAATAACCATGCAAGCTTTCTTAGGCATTGATACATTTCAATTGCCATCTTGGCAAAATTTGCTACTCCTGGAGATGGCTAATGAGTGAAAATGGAATAATATAATGTTATACTCACCTACAAGCCAGGGAAGCCAGTACTTAGACATCCTTCCATCTGTCTGCATGTCCCAGGGATGCACAAACAAGCTACAGTTTAATTGCTCAGCAGCCTTCAATCAAGAGAAAACAAAGTACAATACAGACTTAACAGTAAGGTAGACCCTAGATAGCTCATGGGGTTAGGTTTCTGTGAGAATGAGGGTTTGTGAACTAGCTGGGGTATATACAGCTACAACAAACAGCTGTGTAGGATCATTGAGGTGCTCCAGCTGACTGCAGAAATGGTACCCTTTGAAATAAAAGCTGCGGCAATCAGCTGCATGGGACTACTGCTGTACTCCAGCTGTGTTGAGAAGCAGTGCCCACGAAGTAAAGGCCACTGTAAACAGCAGCACAGCTCATCCTTTACTTGGCAATTAGCTGTGAATTAAGTGGGTTATGAATCACTCAGGTTGGATGATCTGAATAAATGCCAATCTGTTCCAGGCCAGGGCTATCCAATTGGTAGCCCATGGGTTACATGTGGCCCATAAGCATTTACTTTGTGGCCTGCAGACTCCCACTGCCCTTGCACCCTTGGTTCCCCATGCTTTTCCTACATTGTTCCTGGTTTGTTGAGGCTACATGCCTGGGGGAAGCCCAGAGTAAAGGTTGTCTGAGGCAGGGGAAGAACTTTAAGTTGAGATTTTTCATTTTTTTGTAATGCACACCCAGTGGACTGATAGCAACTGTAAGAGGAGATGTGGAGGCCACAGGACAGGTTGTTCCAGCACCCTGCCTAACCTATTTCCCATGAAGAAGGTTGGAGCCACAGGTGTCATAGCCTGAGGGCCCATTGTAATGGTGCAAGGTGTTGAGTAAGGTGGCTGCAAAGCTTAAGGTTGTGGGGGTATAGACCCTGGAGGTATAGACAGCTGGGAGTAGCCCAAACCCCAAGCTACCTAAACTGAAAGGCAGAGACTGAGGAAACAGGACATAGAGACAGAGATGGAAGAGACTGGTAAAATGACAGCTGATTAGGAAACCACCCTAGCACTGAAAGCCACACCAAGCAGCAAGACTCAGCTGTAGAAGTCCTCCACTTTCCAATCTCATGTCATTCTCATTGTTAAGCAAAGAAAATACCATCTAGATCAGGGCTGTAAAACTTTTTAAGAGATCTCCCCTTCTGTCCAATGTAGATAGCAGAGAGGCACTGTGAATAGGAGATGATTTATACAACATTGGTAGATGTCAGGGGCAATCTGTACATAACAGAATGAATGAATGCCAGTCTGACACTAATTGCAGAAAAAAAAAGCAGGTTTGTAGCAGAACACTTTAACCTCCCAGGACACTCCATCGCTACCAAGATAATTATTGAGTTTGTTATCGTGGGGAAATTCTTCTATCTGCTCATTTCCGAAAAGAAGACTTTACACTCAGTGCTACAGATAACTTTGACCATGAAGACTGTTCACCTAGCAGTGACATGCCCAGTTCCCATGACACAGTGCATGTTCTGTTTCAGGTGAAGCCTGGCCCCAGCAACATTTCAGTAAAGCCAAAAATTTCTGAAACTGATGTGGTGAGACGTGGAACCCATTTAATGAGTGAGCTGCAGTGCCAGAGAATTTGAGATTACAGACAAGCACCTACTAAACCTTGCCTACCTTCAGATTTCTGGGCTGATGACTCCGTTATAAACTTTGAACAAAAAGTTGAACTACAAGCAACATCCCAGTTTGTTCTCTCCTTGGTGAAGAATGGGATTCCAAGTGAAAGCTCGTCAGCCAAACCCACTTGTACTTGGGCTGGGTGTCATGCTTTATTATTAAGAGCAGAAACACCACTGATGCTTGTTGGTTTCCTGCCAGTGATTCCAAAACCTGTTACAGATTATGCAGTGGTTTATACAGCCCTTAAAAGCCTTCAAAGTGTTTGCTCTCAACTGAATCAGACATCTCTACCTGTCTTTTGTGATGAGGGAGTATTCCATATAATCGCAGATATAATAATGTGTAACCCATCAGAGTTTACAGACATTGTTCCAAAGATGGGAAATTTTCATTGTGCTAAAGTTGTCATGTACATTCTTGGGAAGTACCTGCATGGGAGTGGTGCTCAAGATGCTTTGGTGGAATGCCGTGTATTGGCGTTAAAATTGTAGAATCAGTTATGAACGGTGAGGTCATGCAAGGGATTTCTCGCCTTGTCAGAAGTCATAAAAAAACCGAAATGGGATGTCTTCTGGAAAATCACTGCTGCTGACAAGTATTCTGCAGTACTCGAAACTGCACAAAAACCAAAGACATCTCTCACAGATAAGGATGCAAAGACAACTCAGGACACCTATGAAAACCTTTTACTGCTGATTAATGATTTCTACGAAGATTACAAAGCTTTCAGCGTTTCCTGTCAGGCAAAATCTGAAATGTGCAAGTATTGGGGTGGTTTCATTGAGCTAGTTCAGATGCTCAAAAATCTGGTAGCCACTGATAGAGAGGGTGATTGGGAATTACATCTTCAAGCTGTACAGGACCTCCTCCCTATGTTTAGGGAATTTGACAACATTGATTACTTGCACTATATATCTTGGTACCTTGAAAATATGAGAGCTCTCCATGCAGATGTGTACCAAAAAATTGTAGATGGCCATTTTGTTGTTAGACAACAGAACAGGTCATTCTGTGCAGTTTCTTATGGTATGAAGCTGAAGCAAACTATTCAGAGATCTCAAAAACATTCTGGTAGAGATATACTTGGCCAGACGGGGCAACAAAAATATTCATAGATTCATAAATGCTAGGGTCGGAAGGGACCTCAACAGATCATCGAGTCCAACCCCCTGCCTGGGCAATACCTGTCCAGTCTTCTTTTAAAGACCCACAAGGTAGGGGAGAGCACCTCCTCCCTTGGAAGCCCATTCCAAATTCTGGCCACCCTTACCGTGAAGAAGTTTTTCCTGATGTCTAGCTTAAATCTGCTCTCTGTCAGTTTGTGACCATTGTTCCTTGTTACCCCAAGAGGCGCCCTGGTGAACAGAGCATCTCCGATCCTTTGCTGTGTCCCCGTAATGAATCGGTAGGTGGCCACAAGACCACCTCTCAGCTTTCTCTTGCGAAGGCTGAAGAGGTCCAGGTCCCTCAGTCTTTCCTCATAGGCCTTGGCCTGCAAACCCTTAACCATACGATTGGCCCTCCTCTGGACCCTCTCAAGGTTATCCACATCCTTCTTAAAGTACAGTGCCCAAAACTGGACACAGTACTCCAACTACGGTCTAACCAATGCTGCATAGAGGGGAAGTATCACCTCCTTGGATCTATTTGTCATGCATCTGCTGATGCATGATAAAGTGCGGTTAGCTTTGCTGATGATTTCGTCACACTAACAACTCATGTTCATCTTGGAGTCCACTATGACTCTAAGATGCCTTTCTGCTTCTGTGCTGCTGAGAGGGTCACTTCCCCGCCAGTAGGTGTGCTGGATATTTTTATGCCCTAGGTGCAGCACTTGCAGCAGGTGCATTTGTCCTTGTTGAACTGCATCCTATTGTATTCTGCCCACTTTTCCAACCTGTTCAGGTCTGTCTGCAATCATTCCCTACCATCTGGAGTGTGCACCTTACCCCACAATTTAGTATCGTCTGCAAACTTGGACAGAGTACACTTCACGCCCACATCCAAGTCACTGATGAAGACATTGAAGAGTACAGGTCGAAGGACCGAGGCCTATGGGACTCCATTCTTCCAGGTCTATACCGGCCCATCTACTACCACTTTCTGGGTGTGATCCCCCCACCCCCCAAGCCAATTTGCTACCCATCGGACTATGTAATCATCAAAGTCACAGCCTCTTAATTTATTTATGAGAATGGGATGAGATACCATATCAAAGGTCTTCCTAAAATCCAAGTAAATGTTAATGAATGGGAAATTGTTTATCATTAAATTCTTGCAGTCAGCAATACATTCTGAGAATTAACAGGGTCTGACAGAACTAGATATTGTGAGACATCCATTCACCATGAGTTGCCTGGAAATTCAGCCTTGATGCATCACGTGTTTCCTGTGTGTTCCAGTTCACGGAGGGTAAAAGGAACCCATATATCACATTCAGTCAGATGCAACTTCACAATTTCATAAGCAAGCAACGTGTCCCAAGAGAGGTAGCTGAAAGATTACTTTCATTCAAAAAACATGCAAAGGAGGCTTATATGCAGTTTAGAGATGAATGTTTCATTAACAAAGAAGCTTTCAGAAAACAAAGAGGTTTCAGATACCATTAAGAAGGTAAAATGCCCAGGATTTGTTTCTGATAGAGATAAACAGGTAGAAAACCATAAACCAACTGCAGCATTGGAAAAGAAATCCTACTCTGCAGCTGAGAAAATCCTACACATAGCAAAGGATCTAGGAGAGTCTCTTAAGAACATAGTGAAGTACAATCTACTGCCATCTAACATGTTATTTGATGATTGTGGCCTTCTTACTAAACCAACCAATTCAATTCTTTTAGGGGAATTTGAGAAGAAACTCCAGCCATCTGATTACAGTTTCCATCAGAACAGCAACAAAACAACTGCGGTAATTGTAGACTTTATGTCCCAAGTATGCCAAGTCTGAACCGAAAAAATGAAAACTTTTCAAGAGCTTTTTGATACCATATGGAGGAAGGCTCTCCAATTTCAACTGGTTTAGAGGGTAGACATTGTGTTTAACAGTTCTGTGGAGAAGTCATTGAAAGAAGGTGAACGAGTGAGGAGAAAGACTATTATACAAATAGTTTGTAAAACTGGATCCTGACTCCTTTATCTGTTCAGATGGAGAAGTTTTGGCCTTCTTCAGCAGATGAAGAGTTATTACAACTGTCAGCCAAACAATACTTTTGTGAAAAAGGAAGAGAGAGTAGCTTGCATACTACAGTGTTAAGTAGAACTATGACAGGAGAAAGTGCGAGAAGGGAGGCCATAATGATCACAGATGATGCAATTCAGGAATGCAAACATCTGTCTGCTGCTCTAGACGAAGCAGCTACTCGGCTGGTCATCCATTTATTTGATGCAGTTTCATCTCGTTTCACACATGTCATAGTGCTGTCTAATGATGCAGATGTTTTTATCCTTCTTCGATATCTGTTTCAACTGTTTGAGAAAGGACTTTTGGAACTCTGGATTAAAGTAGGCTTTGGTGATAAAGTCGGATTTGTTCTTCTTCATATGCTTGGACAGAAACTAGGACCAACCTTGTGCAGTGTTCTTATTAAGGCTTGCATCCTCACAGGCTATGATGTCACCAGCAAAGTGGAAACAAAACTGTCAGCATTGAATACATTGCCAGAGAAATTCCTGTTAGGTTTTTCTGAAGATAACTACATCCTCAGAAAGCGTGTTAACAGGCTGAAGAATACCTTGTTAAGGTCCTACAGCCATCACTTCATTGCAAAACATTTGATGAGCTTCATTTTGCACTGTACAAAAGTAAACCGATCTCACAGCTTCCTTCCAGTTCTTTCTGTTTTCAAAATGCACATCTCAGGAGATGCTTCTTTGTGGCATGTGAATACTTTAGCCTGGATGATAGCAGCTACAGAAGTATGTTAAATCTGAAAGATATTGTGTGGTACAGAGACCCGAGTGGAACTCTTTTTCTGGACAAATGTCTCCTTTCTGTTCCTGATTAGTTATTGCTGACATGTAAGTGTGCAACATGCAAGATGCAAGTGCAAAGTGCCAAAAAATGACATTTCTTGTACTGAATACTGCAAATGTGGTGAAAACTGTATAAGGAAAAACAAGTAGTCTAATGGATGATGTGGTGAATCACCTCAAAACATTAAAAGAAAAATCTTTTAATAGTCACATTAATTTGTTTAATATCATGTTGTATGTTATAGCACTTATTAATTCCAGATTGATATTCCAGTTTTATATACAGCATTTAGATGTCAACTAGTATGTAAAGTTGAGATAATTTGTCTTGAGAGAATTGCAAACCCTGCTTTCTTTTGTCACTATGACACTGGAAACATCTGTATTAGATTGTTTGACCTTGAAAACACTGGGTTAGACACCAAGATTACCTTTGTACCATACTTAGAAGAGAAGATACCAGTCACCAAAGAACAACTGTCGCCATGCTCAAAGACGGCGCCCTCCCACGTCCTGTGCACTGAATGGTGAAGTCCACCCACATCTTTTTTAATCCTTTCACATGTGTTTTCTTAAGTATAGTGGCTACCTTAGTCAGTTTTGACTTTTCTACCGGGGTCTATGCCAAGGACAGGACAGCCTTGTGACTCCTTGTTCACATGGGTTTATTGCTTGCTTGTCTGCCTCTCCCAGCACTGGCCATACTCTTCCCTCTCTCCCCATTTTCTGTCTTTTGTAATCAAATTTCTCTGGTTTTTGAACCCAAAAGCTTGCTTAATAACTATTCTCCAACCATTTGGGTTGGTCTAATAAAAGATATCAAATTCACCCAAGGAACCTTGTCTGCCTCTCTCCTCCTTATATAGTCTTTGTGAGTGTCCTTTCACAGCATCTGATGAAGTGAGCCTCAGCCCATGAAAGCTTGTTTTCTCTGTGTATATACATCTACTTTGTTTAATCTATAACAGGTGCTCATCCCCTGGTCTGCAGGCCAGATCTGGCCCCCAGCGCTGTCATCTGCCTTGTGGTGCTCCTCATGGGTTCAAAACGTTGGTGGTAGGGAAGTGATGGTATGTGGGACTGGGACCTGATCCTGGTGCAAGGGGGCTGAGTAGGGCTTGATCCCAGCATGCAGGTGGTCAGACAGGGTGGTGGGGGGCTGGGAGCCCAATCCATGTATGTGGGCTTGGAAGAGGCAGCTTCCAAGGGTAGAGGGTAGTGACAAAGTCTGATCCTGGCATACAGGCCCAATCTGGGCTGCAGACCAGCTCTATGCCTCTCATCTGGACTGCAGAAGGTTAAGCACCACTGTTTATAAGGTGCAAATCTCCCTTGTCATCTACTTTACTTGACTTCAGACTAACACGGCTAGCTATGTGTCTCTATTCCTGGATTAGTCAGGCTGCTGGGACCGGGACATATAGCGCACTGGCTAGGGTTCTAAATGGAAGACCCTAACATTTATAGGGCTGGATCTGGCAATCCATGAACAATGCCTATGTATCATCATTGCTTTTGGAAAAATGTAACATTTTCTTTTTTTGTAAACACGCCACTTAGGGTGTGTCTACACATTGCCATGCTTTAGTACTTCCTTTAGGAAAAGAAAGCATGGCACTTCCTTTAGGAAGTACTAAAGCATGGCACAGTATGGGTGGTTACTGCGTTGTGTGCACAGTGCACACTTAGATTTCACTGCTATGTCACGGTAGTGGGCGCTATAACCAGGGAGCGCGCCACTACAGCGACGTAGCTGGCAATCACGTGTAGACCCATGTGCTTGCTAAGTCACTGTAGCGTGCTGTATGGCAACGTAACACATCATTACATCACCATAGGATGGTGTGTAGATGCACCCTTAATGGATTTTCCAGTGACTAGAGCTATTTAATGAGAATCGAAAGTTAATGATCTTTAGTGCACAGAAAAACATCAGCTACACTAAGCAGTCTTGTTGGAACAAAGTTTGCCCTCAGTTACACTAGGGTAAATATAGATAATCTCTGTTGAAGTCATTGGATATTGACTGGTGTAACTGGTAGCTGAACTTGTCCCAGCATCTTGATTACTTCACAATTCCAAATCATAAAATCCCCTGGAATAGAGATAGAAATATTTACTCACAGCATAGACATCGTACAGTTCTGGTGCATTCAGGTCCCATTCGTTGACATGGGATCCTATCTGTACCCCTGGAAAGCCAAGCTCATTCACACACCGATACATTTCCTTCACAGCTAGGTCTGGAGCTTGCATGGGTAATGTGCCAAGGCCAATAAACCGCCTGGGGTACTTTTTTACCGTGGTGGCTAAGTCATTATTTAATAATTGGCACAGATCTAAAGTATCTTCAGGTCTTGCCTGGAACAATATTAGAAAGAGAAACAAATGAAAATGTAGTTCTCAAGTGTTATCACTTCAGCAAATGTTGGAAGAAACCTGAAGAAGAGTAGTTATTGCCAAGAAAAATGTCACAGCTAACAGTACATGGAGAAGGCTTGAATCAAGGCTATTTCTTATTTGCTTGTTATTCTGAATGGGTGTAAGGTATTAGGTCTGCTTTACACACTGTGTGTGTGGGTTTGCCTATATACTGTATACACACTTACATGCTTAGGTGAGTTGACTTTCCTCAAATGATCAAGGTGGGTATAAAACAAGGGAGAATAAGTCCCTATTTGTTGACATTTCCAAGACATATTTCAAGCAGTAATGTGTATCAGTAACCCCACAAAGCTCCAGAAACAAGTACAGCACCACACTCGGATGCCATGCAGAGGGGTCCAACATGTGCCAGTCATAGGCACATGTACTACTTCCCTACTAAATCTCTGGGCCAAACTGAGTAGTGACATAAACAGTGAAATTGTATTTATTTTCTAACCAATAAACAGATTGTGCCTAAGTTTTTGTAAACTGTCCTCACTTTTGCATTCAGCAGCATAGAGTGATTGCAATTAATAGACTGAGAGGGCCAAAAGGGTAGAAGAAGGAAAACAGAAAGCAACTCTGTGCTAGAAGCTTGGGGCCAAATTTGGTTTTTGCATCTGACCTCTCTAAAATGTGCTGACAAAATCCTCAGATATGGATGTCCTGACAAGTTGAAATACCTTGGAACTAGATCCAAATTTCACAGCCTGAGATTATCTCTTTAACAGACTTGAAATTTTACTATCATATTGCTGGAGTTGTGAAGATGAAAGTATGGAGTGTGGGGCAGTAGAAATATGGGACACTGCAGAATCCTGAATTATTTACTGAGAAAGCTTGAAAGATTTGTAACATTTAAAAGGCGCTAGCACTATTTTTATCAGGGCAGCCATAATGTCCATGTAGAACCACATTATGCTTATTCCTAAAACCTTTAAAAGAGCCACTCCTAACATATTTCAGGACAAAATATGAGAGATACAAAAACACTAGAGATATTCAGTTTATTTATGGACTTTCTTATGTACGGCATTTGTAACTACATCATTTTATGTATCAACGCTCAATTTGATTACTGCAGACAGCTAGATACTCACATAGAAATCATTTGGCAAGTTTTTCCTAGGAAGTGAGTATTATTCATCTCTGTTGTGACTGTATTTTCTAAGATGATGGTGTTAATGTGAGAAATGAACCTAGCTCTTGTTGCTGTAATTTATCTTTTAGAAATATTTTATTTGTTCAATGTATTTGAAATGCCTGTAAAGTTATTTTCACAATCTAGTTGTGCTGTTAAGAACTGTAAGTTCAGATTCAGAACTGCTTGGGGCAACACATTTTCCCATGTTTGACTGTGTATTTAAGGGAAATTTTACTGTAGATTTATCTGTTTCATTAATGTGTATTTATAACACTTCATCTAGGCAATTCGATTCCAATTAGAGGGGAATTGCTCAGGTCCCCTCTGGTGGACAAACAGTTCTGTGTCATTTAGGTCCAAATAGGTTTGACAAGGAAGAGGACAAACAGCTCTTTAGCTTTACTTCTTTGCTGTGTGAATCAGAGGAAGACCAAAATTCCTCCCTGGGGAATCCTCCAGTGCTCTGCATGAGGGAAGGGGAATGCCAAGCAGGTGGATTTTCCTACAGCGATTTTTTTTTTTGAATTTTTTTTTCCTAAAAAAAACATTAATATGAAGGAATTATAAACCAGTGAATTAGAACTTCCATATTATTTTTTAATATGTTACATCCAGGTCCTGGACTCATGTTATGTAACGGTGTTTGACTTACTTCTAGTTGCTCCTTGTAAATTCCCAGGGGCTTCTCTTGCTGTCTCTTTCTTCCGATTGACTTGCCCAGCTCCTGTAACAGCAGCTTTGGCCTGGTACTTGGCTTGTCCTTCAATGCCGGAACAGTTGTGTCCTACCTCTTTTCCTGAAGAACCACTTCTCCCTTACCACAGAGTAGCTCTGCTCCACTACTCTGGTGAATGGCTGAATTGTCTAACCCATGGGTGTGTGAGGTTCATTGCTTTGATTTTTGTAAAAATATCCAGGAATTACAAAATTGTTTGCATTGACTTACCCAATAGCTGAACATTACAGGAACAGTAGAAAGCACTTGTACAGTGACTCCTATGTTGAAGAATAGAAGTAATTAAATAAGGAAATACAGTTGGAGGTTTTTGTCTTATGTCTGCTTATAGTTTGATCTATGCATTGCAGGCTTACTGCATTGCATCAGACAGCAAAGATATAGTCATAGAGACAAACTGGCTAATGATCCACAGTTCCTACAGAAAAGAAAGAAAACTGTTTATGAAACATCTATGGGTAGACTAGGACCCAAACTGAAAATAATCATCAATTTGATGTGTCAGCCTCACCTACCAATCAAAGCTGGTCAGTTATATCTCATATGCAAGCACATGGGGAAAAGAAAGAAATTCTTCTTCTATTTATTTCACTGATGCAGATTAATGTGAAGATTGTTTCTTCTGCTTCCACTATTTAATTTGCTTTTCTTGAAGAGAGAGGGACAGATGTCCAAGGATTTTTTTACATTAATTGCTACGAAAATTAAGCTATGAATTGTTGATTCCTGGCACCATCCTAAATCTGCTACCTTTCTCATCTTTGCCTTTGGTGGCTCTGGTATTCAGGCCTCATTTCTAAATAGTTAAAAGCACAATAATAGGCTTGTAGTTCCCGAAATAGATTTCTGTGCTACATGTTTCCAGTCACTACATGTTCCCAAGCTGGGAATGGGGCTGAGCTAACCCAGAAATGAATTTGAACTTACCTTAAAAAAATATTTCCCTCCCTTTTTTGGAAATCCTCTCAATATATCCTGGTTCAATTATGATATCCCAGAACCCACATCAGCAATGGCAAGCACCTCATTGCAAACCAGATATTTGTGACTGTGACAGGGGCCTGTCCCAGGGCCAGTCACAATGTCAGTTCGCCCACTTGTCTAGGGCAGTCTACCTGCCTGACTCGTCTGCCACACCTCTGTTGTATTTTAATAGTTGTTTGTAGACAGGAGGCTGCCCATTTTATGCCCTGATGCCAAGGGTAGAATACACGGCTCCAACCTTCCCTTTACTGTGTCCCATGCCTTGCAGATGACATCCAAAAATTACTTCCAAGTCCTGTGGCCCCATTGCTGGGTCACACTCGGCCACTGGCCCAAACTTGGTCTCAGGCATCCTCGGACATACCTTGGCCCAGCCTCTGACCCAACTTGGCCTCAAGTGTCCTTCAACGTGTCTGGGCCATATGCCCACTCCCACTGTAAATAAGAGATATAATGTGACCTAATCTTGGCTCTAACACATCATCTTCATTTATTAATAACAATATTCTTAAGCTGTTGCATAAAGATCTTTTTTTCAAAAAAGGCTTAAGTAACCTTCTGAATTAATATACTTTATACTGCTGGTTATTGGCTTTATTCAGTTGAGATTTTTACTCTCAAATGATCACTTCTTAGGACCATAATCTAACTTTTCAAGGGGCCTGATCCTTGTTGTGGCAGTGTAGCCCTGGCCACTTTCCTACCATCCACCCCAAGGTGCACGTGCTAATCAAAATGCCTTTGTGTGCCACACAGTGGCATGCATGCTGGGGGTTACCTACCCCTGCCCTAGATTATATACCATTAAAAAACTTATTGCCTCAGAAAGGTGACTGGTAAAAGAACAAAAAGGGAAAATGTATTTTGAACCCTTCATTTATGTATTTATGCTTCTTTATGAAGTAGTAGAAAAAACTTGGAAGGATTGTTTCTGCTTATTTGTTTAAACCTTCAGAACATCAGGACTATTGCAGAAACATACTAAATTTATTACCTGTATTCAGGTCCCTGGGTTTCTGGTCTACAATATTATTTATCACTATACTTCGTTTTATTAAATTTGACTTGTATATTTTGGTCTATAATAATACAAAGTTTGTGTGTTGATTTTACTGATGTTTCAATAACAGAAAATAACTTTTAAGTGAAGGACTAAGTTCAGATTTAGATATATTATATATATTTGTATACCAAATGTGTTTTATATAACGCATCTTTCTACATTTTATTTTTTATTTTGCCAAGAACCTCTAAATTATACTCTTCTGATAAATGCAAGCCAAGAAATGCCCAATATTTTTCCTACACTTGATTGTCCATACGGTGCTTATTTTTCCAGACCTTTCCAGCAGAATTTAACACTATAATGGAAGAGTCACCAGGTGGTGCTGTTACATACAGTTTTACAAATTCTTTTTAGTTTGTAAGTAATGTTTAGTCTTGGAAGAAATGTTGGTTGTTAATTTTCTGGTGTAGAGCCATTTTGGGGAAAGCATTTGCAAGTAGCTGGAAAGACAGTTTTCATTCTTTATCTCTAGATCTTGAATCAATTCTGGGTCAGAGCTGATTTCTGTGGAACAGGCAATGGTGTTGGAGCTGACATATCTGAAAGGTTCTGTTTCCAATGGGCTGTTTTTGACCAGCTCTGTGGTTACATCAAGGGTATGTCTCCAGTACAATCCCAAGGTGTGAAAGCAAGTTGTATAAACACATCCAAGCTAGCTTTGAACTACCTCGTTTTCTTGCATTACAGCATGCACCTTTCCCCCCATATCAGCAGCTGGGGTGTGCATATAAGTAAGGTGTAACAGGGTGTCCGCTCTGGGCTGATCTAAATGTGGCCTGCACACCTGTCCCTGGGGCAACTGCCCGCCTTCTTGCCTGCCATGCCTTGTTGTTAATTAGTTAATTGATATTAATTAGTGGAAGGCTGCCCTTTTACTGCCCCAATGCCAGGGGGCGCTATCTGCGGCTCCGTTTCCTCCCCTACACCGCAGCCCACACCTCGCTGATGGAATAGATGTTGTTAGGTCTTGGCCTTGCTGTAATCTGGCCCCTTGTCCTCTCTGGGCCTTACCTCTTTTGATCTGCACCCTCTCCGGTGCTAAGGCTCTCCCCAGCCCTGTCTCACTATGTCCCCTTCTCTGGGGCTTCTCACCACAATGTTGCCCTCTCTCTGGGGCTTTGCCACAATGCTGCGCCATCACTGGCATTGGGGTCCCCACACTGCTGTGGGTCCCCTATGAGGTCTTCTCCAACTCCTAGTAGCCTCACCCAAACCACTGGTATTTAAATAACAACGAAACACAAGCCCCTGGGCTGTAACATAAATTAAAGCCACCTGGCTAAAACATCATTCAAGCCTACTGGGGAATACTTCATCCCTCAGCAGTGTCAAATGCTGCTCCTGCAGTCAGGCCTCCCCTTTCTTCCCTGAGAGCGCTCCTTCCCCTTGGGCTGCTGGCAGGGAACTGACCCTCTGGCCTCAGCCTCTTGGGACGTCTGGCAGGTGTGGGCCACTAGCTCCCTCTGGTTGCCCTGGTAACTAGCAGCTGAGGCTCTCCACTCACTACTAGGGCTCTTTCCTAGCAGTTTCCTCTCTTTATAGGAGCAGGGCACCTAAGTGCTCTGCAACATAAGGGAATATGGCAGTGGCAGGAGAGGGAATTGAAAGTCATGCAGCAGGTGCTTCACAGTGGGGAGGAGCACAATGAGGAAACTGGGCTCTCTGTTGCAGGGGGCATGGCCCTTTTCTTTGGATCCCTCATAGCAGAACACTGGCTGCAGTGGTCCGCCTGCTTTATTTGTGGCAGGTTAGGGTGTTATGTCTAGTGTTGTGTCAGGGTTGGCTGTGCTGTTTTACTGATCATTTGGACTATGGATTTGCATAGGATGGTTAGGACAGTGTAACAGGGGGCCTTCTCGGGGCCGATTTCCCAGTGGCCCACCCACCTGTTTTGGGCTAACTGCCTGCCTTCTCTCCTACCACGCCTTGTTGTTAATTAAGCAGGAGGCTGCCCATTTCTTGCCCCGATGCCAGGGGTCGCTATCTGCGGTTCCGTTCCTCCCCTACACCACAGCCTAAGCCTCACAGATGGCATCCAGATGTTATCAATATCACCAGCCCCACAATCCTACTAGTTGGACCCCATTTAGATCCCTCCATTCAGGCAGCCTATTCTGCCTTCATTCCTGGATGCATAGCTCCCTGAACTGCTTCTCCCTTATGGGTGTGGTCCCCCCGGGACCTTTGGCTACTAGTCCTGGCCCACCCCCAGGCCAGTCAGAACCCCAGGCCCTCAGCTCTTGGGCATTCCTTGCGGTGGGGCCCTGGCCCTTTGACCCTTCCAGTCCTGGCCCCAGCATTGACCAGACAGGAGATGTTCAGACAGGTTCGTGAGTCTATGGCCTCATGCTGTCTTTGGGGTCTACCTTCCAGACTTTACAAGGGGGTAACCCACCCGGTTGTGGGAGCTGGGGTTAAGGTGGCCTGACCCCCCCCCCCCTTTCACCAGGGGGGTAACTGGCCTGGCATTTCCTGGGGGTTCCTGTGCCACTGAGAGCCCCACCAAGCCACCCACTTCCGGCCAGGTGAAGTTTTAGGTCATGCCCAGGACCAGGACCAGGAGCCTCCTGACCATCCCCTACAGCTCCTCCCTTACCTCCAGATGATACCTGCAGCCAGGGACTGTTTTTGCCTGTCCTCCCAGCAGCCAAATGCCCTGTTTATATGGGCAGCCCTGAGTCTAAAATAGCTGGCCTAATCAGGCACCTGCTGGCTGCTGTCTTCTGGCCCTTAAAGTGGCAGGCACAAACAGTGCCCTGCCACAGATGGGAATGATCCTGCCTCTAGTAGGGGGATTGGACTAAATGACCTTTGAAGGTCCCAATTTTTCTGTGGTTTCTTTGGCATTTTATACAAACCCTTGTGCCATCTTCTGTTTATCCCTGCTGTGTCTGCTTCTCTCCCAGAGACCCAAGGAAGGGTACTGTGATATCTGAAAACTTTTCTAAGTCTATCCCAACCATGCAGTTGGCCCAATAAAAGATACCACCCTCCAGAACTCTGCCCCCCCCCACATATTTTGCAGAATTCCAGGGGAGCTAGAGAGCTAGGGTGGGAATTGTCATAGTCTTGCTTTAAGGGACTCTTTAATTAATAGAATTTCTCCCATAAAAAGGAGTCTGAATTAAATAGGTGTTAATAAATATAGCAATCACTAAGCTCTAACATTTGAACTAAAATCCTCTTCCCTTCTCTCTCTCTCATCTTTATGGCCCTGATTTCATAACATACTTAAGCATATGCCTAACTATAAGCATGAGTAATCCTGTAGCAGTCAAGCATTTGCTTAATTGCTCTGCTCATGAAAGGGCTCTTTCTTATCTAAGAATATAGTTTCACTAGTTCTCCCATTAATCAGCTCCCTACCAGAAACATAGTATCCAAAGCTGGACCTTTTATTTCAGAGGTGGCCAACCTGCTACCTGTGCAAGTACAATACATAGCATAGCCAGTCTGTTTGCAGCACATGGCAGCTTGGGGAGGGGACAGGCAGCACAGTGGAGCTGTGAGCAAAAAGCAGAAGAATAGATCAAGCAGGGAATACAGGGCAGAAGTCAGAAAACAGAGCAGCAGACTGGGCAAAGAACACAGGACAGGGACCGGAGCAATAGGTCTGGCAGGGGAAAGGGATCAGTGTGGTAGTTGAGGAGGGTATGGGGCCAATTTATGGCTGCCAAAAAGGTTAACTCTCAGTGCTTCCCACAAGCAGGGAAAAAACAAACGGGGAGTGAGAAAAGGATCAAACACGTTTTTCCTCTTTGTAGGGAACTTTTACACTCATGAATGTACATTCTTCTTCTGTGGCCAGATTTTGATACCATATTTGATACCGTATTTATGTCGAGTATTACTTTTATGTAGTAACTGCCTCTTGAAATCAAGGGGCTACTTGTGGAGTAAATTGTGCGTCTACAGTGGACACGTCTACATGAGATGTTTACTATGGAGTTGCCTAATTAGGTCTGTAGTAAAACATCACTGTCTACACATGTGGTGCTATTTGGCCAGAGCAGACTAATTGACTCTGCCATAGGACAGTACTGCCAGACACAAGTACCATCTTACAGCTGAGTTATTTACTCCACTGCAACACACATGTAGACACTGATGGGACTGGCTGGGACACAAGGGTGCTTCAGTGCAGGGGCTACCTGCCAGCTAGGTCTGCACTGAAGCACCCTTGTGCCCCAGCCAGCCTCTCAGCAGCATTTTGAGCCAGGTTGGAGCAGCCCCAGGCTGGCAGGCTGACCCCCAGGGCTCTCTGCCATATGGGGCTGCTCCGCCCCAGCTCAACATACAAATGCGACACCTGCAAACTGAGTTGGAGTTTATTCAGGCACATTGGTTGCACATGTAGATGCACCCTGTGACAGGGGGCCTCCTGGGGCCGAACTCTGTGGCCCGCCCACCTGTCACCGTGACAGGAGGCCTACTCAGGGCCGAGCTCTTTGTGGCCCGCCCACCTGTCTCTGGGCAACCGCCCGCTTATCTCGCCCGCCACACCTTTGATGATAATTGATTCGTATATCGATGTCAATTAAGCGGGAGGCTGCCCATTGTAGTGGTCCGATGCCAGGGGGCGCTCTGCAGCTCTGACCTCCCCTAATACCACAGCCCAAGCCTCGCAGATGGCATCTCGGTGTTAACACTATCACCGGCCCCACGCTGGGCCCCAGAATCATCCTATACGACCCCACTATGATCTCTCCTGATCAGGCGGCCTCTCCGCCTTCATCTGGGCTACCTAGCCCCCCCCGAAGCCTTGTTCCCCTCTCGGGTGTGGTTCCCCCGGAACCTTCGGCTACCTGGCCCTGGCCCACCTCAAGGCCAGTCGGGACCCCAGGCCCCCGG